TCAGACACTTAATGGACTGAGCCACCTAAGCGCCCTTGGTTACTTTATTTCTGGTGTGATGGATCTAATGGAGGCTGCACGATATAGCAGAAGAAGTAAGGTGGAATTGGAAGTCAGATAAATGTGGGTTCTAAGAGCCACTCTACCACTTACTAGGAGTGGGATCTCAGGCAAGTTTTTGAGGCTCTCTGACCCTGCTTCCTTATATTTGGCATTATAGTGATGGTAAGCTGGCAAACGTGTAAACTTTTAGAGCAGGAGAACATAACACGCTACCTGGCACATAACAGATACATAAAACAGTCAACAGCGTGTGAATCCCATCTGCATCCATGGTTACATCCTAAATCATCAGACTATGCCTTCCCTTGACCCTTAAAAGATTATGTCATTTCATCATGTGCTCATGTCATCTATGTGTGCTAGGTAGGGTACAGGATGATTTATAAGGCAGTCGAATGGTCTGACTTGCTGGGTTATGAAAGAGGAAAAGCACAAACCTGGAAGGAAGGAAGAGCTTTTCCATCCTCTTATGGAGTCTCTCGAGTGTTCCGACTGAAGCAGGTTGCCAGTTACCAAAAGCAAGCAAGTAGCACCATGGTACGAAATGGTACACTGATCTTTTTCTTCTTTTAAAACAATGTTTTTATGTTTATTTTTGAGAGAGAGACAAAGGGAGAGAGAGACGCAGAATCCAATGCAGGCTCCAGGCTCCGAGCTGTCAGCACAGAGCCCGATGCTGGGCTTGAACCCATGGACCACAAGATCATGACCTGAGCCGAAGCCAAACACTTAACCAACTGAGCCATCCAACAGGGATCTCAGCACTGTCAAGACTCCTCTCCATCAAGAGCCTCAAGTACAGCATAGTGTAGAAATAACTCTGCATGAGGATTAAGAATATGTGTTTCTTTCCCAGTTCTGTTATTACTTAGCTGTGACTATAAGCATAGCATTTCACCTCTACAAATCTTGGTTTCCCTTCTGTAAAATGGGACATTTGAATCACATGAATTTCATCTGGTCACCACACGTTTTCAAGGCCTCCTGTAGCCAGAGCCCAAGCCCTCAGGGTACACATCACTCTCTCCCCAGCAGGTTCCATCTGCTCTGGCCAAGCAAGCTCTAGGCTCACTCCTGGTTTCTCCTCTGCTTTGCTCTTAGGCACGTCTGAGAGTGAGGCTCTCCCTTCCACTCACCTCCTTCCTACTGTCCTTGCAGACTCAAGCCACGTCTCCCTCACTGTGAGAAGCCTTCTCTGACCATCTCCATCTTCTCTGGCCTCACTGTCCATTTGGAGAGATGCTGTTTAATGTGTACTTAGAATACTTCCTGAACTACACTGAGAAACACATGGAGGGCGGAACTCCCAAGTCTGACACCATTTCCCTATCACCCAACAGAGCACTACACATTTGGAACCTTCCTTTGCTCTTTTGTAAAAGAGATGCCAGCATCATCCATCTTTTAGAAGTTGCAGGGAAGAAATAAATGAAGTACTGGTGTGAAAATGTCCAGCACGCTGACTAGAATCAATTAGGGACTCAAAAACAAATTTTCTTCCTTTCTGTTCTATTTGGTGACTGATCTTCCCACAACATGTTCTACTGAAAAAATGTATTCATTTGGGAAATGGACATCCACGTTGTGCTAGCAGCCTAAGGGGGCCGTGGGCAAATCCTAATTTCTCTGCAGCTTAGAGTTTTTTTTTTTTTCCAAATGAGAATAAGAGCACCCGTTCTCATCTCTTAGGATAGGAGGATAAAGTGAGGTAATACATGAGAAAGCACTTTCTTTTGAAGAGCCACTGGCATTATTATTTTTCATAAGTCCTTGTTTCAGAAAGAAAAATCTTAAAACAACACAAGAGACAGTAAGATGTCAATGTTAACGGGTGATTTGATGATGACTGTGAAAATCCCACTCTTGATATAGACTAGAAATGTCAGAAAGTTGTATTACTGTTCCTTGGGGTAGAAAAGCACAGATACTGAAAAGATTAGGAAGCTTTCTTTTTTGAACGTAATCACCTAGGGCATTACTCATCTCTCATGCTGACATATTTTCTAAGGCAAACAATACCATAAATACATGGGGGGGTGGGCCTCAGAATCAGGGCATATCCATTTGACAGGGCTAACAGCAAAGTAATTTAAAAAAATAGTAACATTAAAACCTTTGTGTTTATTGTAAGTAAATTTCATCATTATTATCTCTTCTGCATTAAAGTATGCAAAGGTTACAAGCGGGGAAAAGAGAAAAAAATATAGTCCCCAAAATAAAATCTGGTTTTTTATAGCAATAAAAGTTACCAACACCTATTCCACAGTGTGTAATATAACGAAATGTAAGAAAGAACCATTCAGGGGCACCTGGGTTGCTCAATCAGTTGAACGTCCAACTCTTGATTTTGGCTCAGGTCATGATCTCACAGTTCATGAGACTGAGCCCTGTGTTGGGCTCTGGGCTAACAGCATGGAGCCTACTTGGGATTCTTTCTCTCCCTCTCTCTGCCCCTCCTCCACTCATGCTTTCTCTCTCTCTCTCTCTCAAATTAAATAAATAAACATTAAAAAAGAAGAAGAAGAAGAACCATTAAACAAGGCAATGGTTAAAACAGATCCATAAAGGGACATGTCTGTCCCAAATCATTTTGTGAAAAAATATGAGAAACATGATTAGGGGAGAGTGATCTAGAGAGAAGCATTTTAGAAGAAAAATATTTTTCTATCAACAACAGAAAAAAAGGTATCAGGAAACTGGTAACAAAAAGAAAATTTAGAGCTATTTAAGGACTCAGCTTTCTTTCCATGTAAGAATGTAATCACCCAGTCAGGTAGGTAAGTAGAGGGGTGTAGTAGAAAAAAGGGGTGTACTTGGGTGGATTTAATCACACTGTGCATTTCTTCCAACATCACATTTCAAGGTCAGTTAAAGAACACCTCTCCAATACTGATCACCTCTACAAGAAGTCATGTAAAACTGTGTTCTCTCATTTTTCTTTGTTAGACTCCTAACCACATTTTAAAAATATTTCAGGGGCACGTGGGTGGCTCAGTTGGTTAGGCATCCAACTTCGGCTCAGGTCATGATCTCACGGTTCATGGGTTTGAGCCCACATAGGGCTCTGTGCTGACAGCTAGCTCAGAGCCTGGAGCCTGTCTTCAGATTCTGGGTCTCCGTCTCTATCTAACCCTCCCCTTCTCATGCTGTCTCTATCTCTCTCTCAAAAATAAATAAAACATTAAATGAATGAATGAATAAAAATATAAATATTTCAGCTTTAGGACCATAGGCCTGGTTGGTTCCTTCAGTAAAGCGTGTAACTCTTGATCTCAGGACAATGAGTTCGAACCCCCTGTTGGGTGTAGAGATTACTTCAAAAACAAAACAAAACAAAACAAAACTTCAAAACTTAAAAAACAAAATAAAAAAACTTAGATAAAAACATTTCAGCTTTATTAATTTATATAAATATGCCTCTGCCATAATTTGTAATACATTTTATAAGTGACTGGAGGAAATTTCATGCATCGCTAATTCATACATATAAATGTGAAGTTTGCATTAAACGTCTCCCCAGAAAACCCTACCTCCTTACTATTTTTAGAAGGAATGGGATAAAGAAGAGACAAGAGGCCTCTCATTACAAAGACTGACCCTCTTAAAATTATGGCTATTCTGTTTTGAGCATCAATCCACTACTAAGACAATGGGAGTACCAGGATTTAAAAAGCCCCAAGTCTGGAAATACTACAATGGCTGATTGGCTTAAAAATAACATGTTAGAACCAGGGAAAATAGTCATTATAAGTGGTTGGCAACAGTCCAGTGCTGCTTTTTAGACTCTTTTTCCTTTTAATACTCTTTTAAACTCCTTTGGCTACCAATTCTCATCTCACCATTTTCAGGTTTCTGCCCAACAAAGCAGGGCACCCCTCCTACCAAGTGTAGAGACCAAACAGCCTACTCCCCACGTGCTCTCTAAACCACTGAAGCCTTCAGGCCTGCCTGGTTTGGGTACACTTAAATACAAGACAGAACCTTCCTGAAGATGGGCCATTTTATAGTTTTCTCAGAACACATTATGACAGTTATTACTTATAAAGATATTTTCTAAAAACCCCATCACTAAAAGTGGACTTTTAAAGATACAATGTAGGCTGCAAAAATAATGCTTAAACTGTAATGAAACACACAGGAGACATTTCTTGAAAATGAGATTAAGAGGCCTGCTTTGACATTTTATTAGTATTGTTAGTCAAGTATAGTTTTCATACAGTTAAAAAAAAAAAAGTTCTTCCAAAATTGTTACCATTAACCAGTGGCTTTTTTTTTTTTTTTTTAACCTCGGACTATTTTAATTACCTTGGAGTTCTTATATTGATACCTTTCCAAGAGCCTACCATAATGTAAGATCTAAGGAAAGGTTCAGATGATTTTGTATGTTTTTAGCCATGAAAGCTATAGAAAATGTTTCTTTCTCCAGAGATGGCATTCTTAGCCACCTACAATGCAAGACGCTATTTCATAACATGTATTTTAAATATCTCAACACCTTTAAACAAGATAGGCCTGTAATAATTTAAATTTTAAGTTGAATCAAGGAAAAACAAAGCCTATATAATACTCATAAGGCCATGGAATAATCAGCATTGGTTGCTTAAGTTAAATATATTCATATTTAAATAAAATTCAATAGCATTGGAATAGATACCAACCATTCTTAATCATGGTTTGAGTCTGATAACCAAATTCAAAAATTTACCGTGGTGTGAAATACATCTCACAGACTGACCAATGCGAAGCTCTAAGCTTTAAACTTTTTGATAGTGTCAATAAAATCCCCAGGAAAGGAGAATACTGCAAGTCTCCTTCAAACATAGATGTTTTAAATCTTGGTTAAACAGACAGAATGTTAAGAATGGTATGGTTTTTATTTTCCATAGCAGGTTTATTGACACTTTTTTTTCTAGTAAAGTTTGAAAATCTGACACTACCTGTCCACATAGAAGGGGAAACAAAACTTGGTCAAAGTCTGTAGAACTTCCTGTGGAGAGAAAGAGAGACAATTTATACATCTAATGGGACCAATAAATCTAGCATTAACCACGGCACACAATCTAGCAACTTTACCCTCAAGAAAGAGGAGACAGATGAAGAAATATGGGCTTTATCAATTACATGGGAGGAGTACAGGCAGTCAATCATGAGAAATAATAAACATGATCAAACTTCATTAAAAATGAAAAATTAATCAAGAATCACACATGGGCGAGCAGCAGGAGCCATGCAGGCAAGCTCTGAAGGGAGGGAGGCGGTTGGGTTGCTGAGTGTTAACACCCCTCCAGGGACCATCTCCAGCCTGACCATATGGATCAGAGTGAATAACACCGAGCCACATGGGTTTGGCCTGGCAGGGCCGCTGTTGCTGGCACCGTTTTTGCCTGTTACCTAGGAACAGAGGGGGCCGGGATTAGACAACGCTTCCCTACATCAATAGGCCAAATCACAAGCAGAACAGAGAGCCAACTTGATGATAATTGTCCCTGAACATTGTCAACTACATTTTTTAGAGTTTAAAACTTCATTTGCTTACTTCATAAAGTTGCTGCCATCTCTGGCATAAATTTGTTTTGTAATCACAACACCAGCAATTTTAAGTATGCGCTATTTTCAGTAAAATGTCATGATAGTTGGGCACACTTACCTGCTTGTAATTTGTGAAAAACCGAAGCAAACTATTGCATTAAATGCCTTTTTACAAATACGGAAGTACGTAAAACCAAACACATTATTCAGGGGAAGTGTACAAAAAGGGAATAAAAAGGAGAGCAACATTTCTAAGACTTATTCATAAAAGCGTAGCTTATTACATTAAGAACACCACTGTATAAGACACAATACACTCATGTGTGTTTGTGTGTGTGTCACATTTCCATGTATATGGCATATATACACATAGCTAAACACATATACAAGTAATTAATTATTACTTCCTTCGTAAAATTTTCTCTAGCTCGACTTAATTTAACTGCAGACTTGGACAGCCCACAGTTGATGCTTATCCTAAGTTCACAGACCACCGTTATAAATTTTAAAAAAGTATTCCTTTCATGCATTTGATTTGCTTTTTAACTACTTAAAATCCCAACCTCAGGACGAAATGAAGAACACATTGTTGGGCCATTGAGAAGCTGGTTCAAATTAAAACAAGCCTGCCCATTGCGAATCCTAATCCAAGTGATAAATTATAGATCAGTTTACAAATGTAGCACTTTTCTAACCAATAATAATGAATTATCAATGCTAACTGAATTGATGCTTCTCGCTTCATTTATTTTTAAAACCGGTTCTATCATTCAAGAAATAAACCACATCAATCTAATAACCCACTCAATGAAGCAGAAAGCACATTGCCTCGCTCTGCCAGAGCATGTTCCGCCTACATAATTCAATTGAGCATATCCTATTTTTTAATATCATCCTGGACTGCTACTATGTATATCACAGCACTGTTAAGGCATGTCATGAAAGAGTGAAGGCAGAGGAAACTATAAAACAAAAAAGAGTGGATAATGCGGCACATTCTATGAGGCACCACTGACACATCAGTTAATTCCATAATGTGGCATTCAGAAGTCCATACGTATTGTTTTCAAACTCATCATGCTGAAGTGATTTACAAAAGCGAACTGAGAATCAGAAAAACGAGCCGTTTCTTGTGCATAACGTCAGTATCGGGCAAATATTGGGGAAAAGGTCACAGGAAACATTAATTTCAACGTCTGCTGTCTTAATACTCTAACCCATGTACAGAAAGATTTACATGCGGAAAGAAATTCCTTACAAATTTCCTTTTGCATCAAGTTCCAGATACCACAAAGCATCTCCTGACTTCAATATATGTACTGAGCATCCTTTAAAACTCAGTACCCAGGGCTCACTCACTGCCAACATCAGCTACAAAGACAGTTATCCTTTCCCCTCAGAAGTGACAGGTGCAGAAGTGCTTCTCTACTCTATGCTGGAGCTGCCAAAAGACCTCAAGATTTTTGAAAGAAAGGACCCCCATGGCTCCGAGGAAGCATTGTGCTCTACAGCAGAGTCAAAGGAATCTAATATGCCCAACTTATTACTCACTACAATATAGAAACTACTTACATTTTCTAATGTCAAGAGTAATAACCAACCGTGAACTTGTCTGTCAGATAATATTAGAACAAATATCAAAATACCCAATGTAGGCTGGGTATAACCCACCTCCCAAGAGCTTTCTTTTACCGAAGAAAGCGGTGATAAGTCTAATTAAGCAATAGGGCAGGAGGAGAGGAGGAGGGAAGGGAATATAGGCAAATGTAGGCACATGTTTGTGCATTACAATATGTTTCTTCATGTTTGTGATATTACAAGAGCTTGATATTCCAATTTAAGTCAAACAAGACAGTGGTGTGCTGTCAGAGGAGAAAACAAAAATGAGCATCTACTCTGTGTTAGGCATATTCACACATTATCTCAATCAGAACTGAAAAATCTACATCTTAGTTTGGGAAGGGGAAGACAAGCAATGTTTCTCATACATAAAAACTGCTGAAATAGACCACTTTTCTTAATACTGATTTACCCTATATATACATGTTTAAGTACCTTACTGTCCTTTTCCAAAGAAAAACAGAATTACCTGAATCTGAAAAGTACCACTCTCTAATAGAGGAGGCTTCAAAACCCTGATAATGAATATATTTTGAGCATTATATTTATGGCAGAGTATCTTTCAGTATTAACTTTCCTGGCCAAAGTCACTAGGCAGTTAGCAACCCCTTTTTGCCCTCTCTGTGTCTTCAGCTGGGGAACTTTCTTTGTAAATGGTAATCTTCCTGTTTTCTCCCCTTTTTCTCTTGCCTACACGAGCTCTTTCAGACAACCAGCCTCAGTACAACCTCAACTACTGCCACATAAATCAGATCTTCAAGATGCAGTACGGCTGATGAAATGTAAATGACCTCGTTGCTAAGGCAGGGGGTGGGAAAAATTGTGCCAGCTCTTCAGATCAATTCCCAAGTTTATATTTTCACAAATCTTTTTATGTACAGTTTGATTTTTTAACATTTTAATGAGCAAAAAAGTGCATCTATAGTAGCCAGTCACCACAGTTAAAGTGCAGGGCATGAACCAGATCCCAGGAGGGAACCAGTCCACCATGTCACCACTGGCTTTAGGACATTCGCCACCTGGTTCCATGTCCCCAGGTTCCAACTCTTTTCATAATCAAAACACTGCTGACATTATAAACCCCAGACGGGTTTTCTAAAATCCTTCCCAATCAATATATCCAACACATAACTTATTGGAGACAACACTGAGCTCATTGATTAAGGTGAGTTCAGTAGCAAAGTTTTCAAAATAAATGAGACAAGAATGCAGCATTCAACCCCTTGTGTCACCAGACAATTTATGAAATAGGCAATTTCTAGAAGGGCTTTTCTTCCTAACAAAATCAACGATACTTCATGTGGGAGGAAAGAAGAGCAGAGGGGGTGGGGAGATGCATGGAGGATAGACAGTTGCACAAACCTTTCTGTTACGCATATATCAAACAGCATATTGCACAGGGTAGTGGGAAAGCAACAACAGCTACAGAGCTCTGCCCACAAGGAGGTACGCCAAACATGAAATCAACACACCTAACATTGGATTCACTTGCAAATGAAAATCAGAAAAGAACTCGAGATTCACGTCTGTCTCCTTCGGATTCATTTCCCCCAATGTGAACTCTCATCTGCTCAGAAGGCCCATCGAGGGGACTTGCTCTAATCTGGATAAAGTAAATCATGTTTTGCTGAAACTGGGATGTACTCTCCAAAACCTGGTAAAGTTTTTCATTTATAATATTATTCATCATAGAATTCTACCTGGAAGCAAAACTTCGAAGACTACATTTGATGCAGTCCACTGAGATTAATAATAATAAGGGCTAAACCAGTTTACCCCGAATTTGGCCTGTCGGTGGGGAGATATTCGAGATCCTGCAACAGACATCAATTTGGATGTCGATACTTTGTTTTCATTGCCTCACTGAAACCCATAAACAAAAATTAGTTGTATTCAGCAGATGAAACAGCCAGACACAGACACACATACCCCACAAATAAATGCCATGTGAAAGACAAAAGTGCAGGCTGACTCTAATGACTCTAATGTCCACTGCGGTTATAGAATGTTGGGAGAGGAGACACATTTTCGCTATTTCCAAAGGAAAAAGGAAATGTGTGCAGGCAAACATTCAAATAAAGGAAACAGACAGCTTGAGTAAATGAATGTATTTTAAAACACGCAGAGCTATAATCGGCCCCTCTGTAGCTTGCTGAAAGCTAATACAGCGGTTGATAATTTACCTTTGTCCAAAAAGAATAAAGGAGAGAACTCTGATGGAGAAACGGAGTGGGTGAACATTTCCTGAGGTTTTTTTTAATATCTAATTTATATGTTCTTTTTTTTTTTTTTTTACATTTATTTATTTTGAGAGACAGAGTGAGACAGAGCGTAAGCAGGGGAGGGGCAGAGAGAGAGGGAGACCCAGAACCCGAAGCAGGCTCCAGGCTACGAACTGTCAGCACAGAGCCCGACGCGGGGCTCGAACCCACAAACTGTGAGATCGTGACCTGAGCCAACGTCAGCCACTCAACCGACTGAGCCACCCAGGCTCATTTCAAAATGCAGATGTGTGATGAAAAGATCAGTGGAGCTCAAATTCCTAAAATACTCTATTTCAATGTTTAAATTTTTTTTTAAGGACGTGAGGGAAATGCTGACCGTCTAAGTCCTGCAACTGAGATGAGTGCCACTGACTTGAAAGAAAAGCCTTTGATTGATGATCTTAAAACTCAAGTTGAAAGTTAAAAACAGAACACACACAAAATCCAAACACACAAAAAGCTAACAGAATTTCTACTTTAAGCCATTTCAAGTCACAACCAGGAACTCCAAGAGAAAGCTACCAGAGGTTTTAATGCTTATGACGGAGAACGGTAAAACGGAACGGTTAGAAGT